AGTCCTTTCTTCATGTTGACAAAACATAGGGAGTAAATCCATTTCATCATCAGTAATGTTGGATCCACTAGCGTCCCCTAATTCTCTAACTCCATGTTTTTCATTTGAAATGCCCATTTCAGTAATAGTCACATCAACCCAGTCAATACCAAAGGGATAAACAAGCGACAACATATTCTGAAAATCATAATCATCATCAATCATGCATTGCGAATGTCTAGGTAAACAATACGATAACAGTATGCAACCACTATTGTCAAACTTCTTCAATTTACAACTTAAGAAATCAGTTAAATCCTTCAACGTGCAGTTTGACACAACCTTGAACATAATGGTACAATCACCATACTTGCATAACAACATAAGAGGTGGAACCATTTTACAAATCTGCAATCAATTAACAGTAAAAATTTACTGTCAATCAAAGTAAAATTTTATTGTCACTATCAAAGTAAAATTTTACTATCACTATCAAAGTAAAATTTTACTGTCACTGCAAGTCCAAAAGTTAATTTGTGTTTAGTTTGAATTGATAAAATTTTACAGTGATTTAGTGTAACATTGTACTATATTTTAGAGTTAATTTTTATTATTTGGTTTGCCAAAGATTGACAACTCATACAGTATGTCACCAACACAACTTGAGACATGAATCTAAAAGTAAAATTTTACTCTACATAAAAGTAAAATTTTACTCTGAAATAAGAGTAAAATGTTACAAAAAGAATCTAAAAGTAAAATTTTACTCTGCATAAAAGTAAAATTTTACTCTGAAATAAGAATAAAATGTTACAATCTGAATCTAAGAGTAAAATATTACACCATAAAATTTTATTCTGTATAAAAATAAAATTTTACTCTGAATAAGAGTAAAATGTTACACTCTGAATCTAAAAGTAAAATTTTATTCTGTATAAAAGTAAAATTTTACTCTAAAAAATGAATAAAATGTTAGACTCTACACAAAAGTAAAATTTTACTATTAAACTCAGAATCTAAAAGTAAAATATTACTCTGAAAAACGAGTAAAATGTGAAACTCTGAATCTAAAAGTAAAATGTTACTCTGCACAAAAGTAAAAAAATTTACTCTGAAATAAGGTAAAATTTTAATCTAAAAGTAACATTTTACTCTGAAATAAAGTAAAATTTTATTGTGAAACCACAGGCTCAACACACCCATAGACAACCATTTAACAACATAGTAAATTTGTACTTTATAGAAATTGTATTATTTGCAGACAATGAACTTGTTTGGTGCAATTTTTTGCTAGTTAAAAATTGATAACTAAAATGCATAACTTAAAAGAACATATCTCCCCTATCTTCTTAATAATCAAAATTTTTGCTTATCTAAACTATTGTTACCTAAGCAAAAGTTGCAACAAACATGATCAACATCAGCGGAGGCAGTGTTTGTGGCGGCTAAAGTGTTTGGCAATGACCACCTCTTGATAGTAAAATTTTACTGTCATTCTAAAACCAGAGTAAAATTTTTTACTCTCACTCTAAACAGAGCACGTACCAGAGTAAAATTTTACTCTAATTCTCTCAAACAAAAAATAGAGCAATAGAACTAGAATAAAATTTTACTCTCATTCTCTGAAACAAAAAACAAAACAATAGAACCTGAGTAAAATTTTACTCTGATTCTGTCAAACGAAATCAGATCAAACACAACAAAAAAAAAATCAAAAAAACAAAAAAACAAACAAAAATAAAAAAATTAATCAACATACCTAATTGAGAAGAAAAATCTCTAAAACTCGATCAATAGTCACAAATCTCAATGAAACTCTCGTTTAATTGAGAGTGTTGATCGTCGGTGGCGAGATCGTCTATTGTTGACCAAGTGAGAGATCTTCGACTGCGAGATCTTCAGATTTGGAGATTGTCTTCATCGATTTCCTTTCCTCTTCTCTTCAACTCCAAACACCTAAACAAAGTGTTTTGAAAGATTTGCCTCTCTTCTAGCCGAAGAAACTGATTCTTTGCCCTGCACATCTTTCTCCGCCAAGCAAACCATCAGTGGTGCCCAAGTCTTAAGGGCGGTCAAAAATGGGGTGTCTACAGGTGGCGAGATTGTCTATTGTTGACCAAGTGAGAGATCTTCGACTGCGAGATATTCAGATTTAGAGATCGTCTTCATCGATTTTGTTCCTGCGTGATTTTCAGATTTGGAGATCGTCTTCATCGATTTCGTTCCTGCAAGATCTTCAACTCAGATTTCAAATATTTCAAATGTATGATACGTGTATATAGAAGGGCAATATTGTGATAAAAAAAATAGAAATTATAAAATGTCCTTCTTAAGATAGGCATTTCCTACTCAGGGCTTTTTTTAAAAAAATTAATTGGGTTATCCTTTACCCTAATAAAAAGGCCCAAAATGGGAATTTCACCAAAAATTTCATAAAACAAAATATCACATCTAACCCATAATCATTACATTCTTTCTCTCACAAAAAAACCAAAAAAGCCAAAAATCATTTCCAAACCAAACTTTTTTTTTTGTTACAGAAAAATCCTCCCACTCTCTCGCAAGTCCAGGGCAGCGCCCCTTACAGAGATCACCAAGGTGTCTTATTGTTCGTTCCGAGATAGGATCTGTTCCGAGATAAAAGACTATAACCTGAGAACTTGTTCCGACCTTCCAAGACAAGTTCCGCTTAAGTCAGGACTCGAGCAGCGGAGGAGCATTGGACCCACACTAAGTATTATGGTAGTAACAACATGAGGCTAACCTCCTGACCAACTGCCCTACGCTTACGCCCAAGAGACTAGCCTAAAAAATTTTGAACTTAAAACTTAGGGTCTTTAACTCCCAAACTTTTACCAAGTTACCAAACGCTCTTTGATTAAACCAAACTTTTTAACCATAAAATAACTAAAAAAATCCAAAAAATCAGAAGGCAACCCACCTCCCAAACCATACCTAAATCTCACAAAAATACACGTTACCCACCTGTCACTCTCCCTCTCGCTCTCAAAAGGAGTCGACCCAACTCTCTGATCTTCTTCACAGCTGCAAAATTAGGGAAATGCCTCCAAGAACCATGAAGATTCTGATTCAAGAGAGGATAGATAGTCTCACCAGTTAAATTTAGTCAGAGAATTCCCAAGTTGTTCAGCACCCATGTTCATCCTCACTCAAAATTCAACCAAGCTCGTCTTCATCTCTAATGGAGTTCATAGTGGAGAAGGGTTCCTTGGTGGTTTCGGCAATGCGGGTTCGATTCTGTTCGGGCTGTATTAGAGCTGTTGATATTCGAACCCGATCGAGGAATCTCTGATCTCGGCCGTGATTTTATACACCTTGGAGTAGGTGGGAGTGCCATTGGGTAGCCTCCATGCTTGACTTCGGCAGCCTCCTTCTTTGACATGGTTGGTAGCCTACTTCCTTGTTGACCAACCAAGGTGTGTTCACAAGACAATTTCCCCTTCACATGGGGTGAATTCAACACCTTGGTGGTTTCGGCAATGCGGGTTCGATTCTGTTCGGGCTGTATTAGAGCTGTTGATATTCGAACCCGATCGAGGAGTCTCTGATCTCGGCCGTGGTAATTTAATTTCTCTGCTCAATCTTCTAGCTTTCTGTCTCTGATCTATGGTGTTCTTGTCATATATATATATATATATATATACACACACTAGTGAGTGGCACACACGATGCGTGTGCAATTTAAATAAGTAAGAATAAAAAAGTTAAGTCCTCGTACTTAAACCTATACCCATTAAGCCTTCCTCACCTTTTTGTTTAACTTTTTTTTAAAAAAATAAAAAATACTGCCACATGTACTTAAACCCATACCCATGGTTTAAGCCTTCCTCACCTCTTTGTTTAACTTTTTTTTAAAAAATAAAAAATACTGCCACATGACATGAAGAGAGTAAATCATAAATTATATTCACTTTATAATAGTATATATATAGAGAGAGAGAGAGAGAGATTTTAAATTTTAGATTTTGGTTGTCTCGGCAACCAAGCAGAGATTACTTTGGTGTTTTGTTTCTTTTCTTTTATTACTCCCCTTTGGAGTTTGGTATTTGTTTCTGCGTATCAAATGGCTATAAAAAATCTATTTTTCTTTGTTTGGAATGCGGAGAAAGGTTTTCCAAGTAAACTTTGAAATTGGATGTGATGTCATCAATCAATTATAAAATGTTAAATAAGTATTGTGTCTGATTCAATGGTACCGCAAAACAATACTCTTCACATTGTTTGTTTTCAAAAAAAATTCCCTGCAATTGTCAAAGAATGAAAATAATTTGGTACTGATTATTACTGTTAATTTTGTTTTTTTTAGTTCAGCTTTTACTGAATCTTTATGATGTATTGTGTTCCTCTTTTTAAATTGTGGATATCTATATTGATATTAGATTTTCCATTCCGTATGTAGATTCTTGGTCTGCCCCTCCCAAAGGGCCAATTGATAGAATACAAGAAGAAGATTGGCATCTGGGCCATGAAGGTTTGGGATGTTCTGATTTTGAGGGGTTGTTTCTCTTAAAATTTTCTCTCGCTCGGAAAGAACGGTCCCTTTGAGGATTAGCTGAGAAACGGTTTTTTTTTAAGATGTGATTTGTCGTACATGGATTTGGTGATAGCACTTGTTGCACAGGAAATGAAATCTGATATGGAAATTGGGTCTGGAGATGGGCCATTTGGCCACTTAAATAGTTCTGATTCAGTGTGCTCTTATTCTACTAAGCCAACACGATAACTTGCCAAGAGGACGTGTTTTTACCCCTGGTATTGCAATTGGCTTAACAGATCTCCAAGAAAACAGAATGTCTTTTGGTATCATTTCAAAGGGCGCTCTCTCTTCCTAAATGGTACAATCTTGGTCACGTTAATCCAATCCAGTAGCAGCATAGAATAAATTAAAAGCTGTATGATTGTATCCTGTGTTAGCTTCTTATATGTTTGCTTTGTGTAGAATGTAGATTTAATGAGAATGTTGTTTCATCTTCATCTGATCCAGTACTGAAGACCCTAGAAAAAATCAAAATCCTCAGTTTTTATTATTTGCATCTTTGATGCCCTCGTGCAAATCTGTTTCCACTTTCTTGTTTGAATGCCTTCCATCTAATTGCATCTTTATTAGTGCAAAAGGGATACTTTACAAAGCTCTGTAAGTAGTTTAGTATGAGATTCTATTTGTTCATAAACCCCTTCTCATGTTGAAACATGACATTATTGCCAATTTTGATCATAGTCTACATTGATATGTATAACACAAAAGTGGGGATTATCACTTCTCCCAGGTCTCAATGAGTTCGATTAACCCTTTCATAGAGCTCCCACCATCTCCCACTGCTTTCCTGGCCTCTTCTCTAATACGCATTGCTTGCACCTTGTGCAATTCATTTCCCATCAGCTCCCCAACTCTCTTCCCTATCTCGTCGCCCTTTACTACCATCTCCCCTCCTCCCCAGTCCCAATCTTTTGCCCACATCCCCAATCCGATCCTCTCCACAACATATGCATTCATCTTCTGGTCCCTGTGTTGAGGCCATGCTAACACAGGCACACCGTGCCACATAGCCTCAGACAATGAGTTCCACCCACAATGACTCAAAAACCCACCAACAGCTTGGTGAGCCATTATCTCCTCTTGATTCAGCCAATCCTTCACCACCAAACCTTTTCCCTTGACACTCTCTATGAACTCCTCTCCCACCACCTCACCCAATTCCGCTGCATCTTCCCAATCAACTTTCTTTTCCTTCACCAACCATAGAAACCCACATCCGCTTCTCACCAATCCATCACCCAACTCTCTGATCTGCTCCCTTGACATAGCTGTCCTGCTCCCAAAACTAACATACACAACTGACCCTTCTGGTTGATCGTCAAGCCATGCTAATGGCCGGCTCCTCTCAAAATCACATGAAGGAAACGGTCCAATGGCAGTCACCCTTGGTAGCCCATTTACTACTTTTCCATCATTAAGTGCTTCCAAGGACTCATGCTCGATACTTTGAAATGTATTGATCAGAATCCCATCCGATTCTATCATTTTCTTTCCATTCTCGACGATCTGGGTTTTTAGGAGATTGTAAGTGTCTGACAGTAGCGATGGGGGAACCCATGATTTAGGTATAGGTCGCATACCTGGAATTTGAATTTCATCAGAATCATTAGTAGCTTGTGAGTCAACCATGCTGTGGAAGGACACGAAGAGTGTCAACATTTTAGCAGATGATGTGAACAAAATGTAGTTAGGGAGGCTAAGAGCTTGAGTCACGGGGATAACTGTAGAGGCCAAGCTCATGTCGGTGACAAGAGCAGAGAGAGGTGGAGATAACAAGGAGAGAAGCGGTGGGAGGAGGTGGGAGGAGCGGCGAATGGCTTCGTATTGGGCATAGAAAGGGTCTTCTAAAGTGACAGAAGCCTCGTTCACTGGGAGGAGACGAAGTTGCTTTTGGGTGATTGAAGGGAATGTAGAGAAGAAGTGAGAGAGAGTTTGGGACTCAGCGAGGGAGACAGTTGAGTGAGGAGTGATGATGGTGACTCGGATGTTGCGGGAGGTTAGAGAAACTGCGAATCGGAGAAAGGGTGTTAGGTGACCCATGCCGGAGCCGGGAAGGAGAGCTACGTGAGGAGCTGCTGATCTTTGGTGGTTGGAATGTGACATTTTCAGGAAAATATTTTAGTATTTGTTAGTTTGATTGCTTAGAGTGAGAAATGATATAAATATATATTGAGCTTTGAGTTGCAGAAAGTCAAATATGGCGATTGCTGATAGAATTCTTCCTGTGATTATGCTTTCGTGGTCAGCAAGATATGAAAGTTTGGTGGCAAATCATGTCAATAAGTCAGTTTCCTAGAAAGTCATCCACGTGGTTTATTTGTTTTTGGAAGATTATTAGATTAGATTAGATTGCAGGAGTTATGTTTTGTCGGAGAAAAACGTTCATTGCAACGCTGATACTGAACTTAGTCTTATGTATCCAGCCTTGCTATGTAGGTCTCGTTTGGAATATGTTATTTTATTAATTTTTAAATTTTTTAATTAAAATATAAAATGAAAAAATAAGTATGTTTGAGATAATTTTTTTACTTTTTATATAAAGATATTCAAAAAGTAAAGAGAAATAATTTTTTGACTTTTGATATAAGCTATTGATTTTTTAATTTTTTTAGTAATTTTCTAACTTTTTAGCCTAAAAAATTGAGTTGCAAAATGTGGCCTTTTGCCCCATTTGGTCTCATTTTTTTTGCTTTTTTTTTTTTTTCTTCTTCTTTTTTCTTTCTTTCTTTCTTTCTTTCAATATATATACTCTTTTGTTGAGCCTTTTTTTTCATATAATTTTTTTTAAAAAAAAATTCAAAATTAGAAGGAAAGAATGTTTTTGCTCATTTCTCAAGTCCCCAAACTAAGCTCTCCAACTGTGGGAAGTACATACAAACAAACAAGCTTATTGTAACTTGCATAGTTAGGGATGGCAATAAAAACCGTATCCAATGGTTACCCATGGAGATCCTACCCGAAATAAGTGGGTTTTCCCTATTTTTCTATCCATCGGGTCAGCGGGCAATCTAATTTAATTCCCCATCGGGGAATGGGTAGGGGAATGGATCATCTCCTTTCTCCGTATGTTTTGACACCCTCTATTCACAGCTAGGGTTTTCTCACTCTCTCTCACCACTCCCACTCCAAATCAGAGTTAAGCATCGAAAGCAGCTAGAGTTCCAGTATCAAAAGCAGAGTTCTCCGGCGATCTCGTTGGCGCTTAACACAGTTCTCCAGCGTGGTGAGTTCGATCTCTCGTCTCTCTCTCTCTCTCTCTCTCTCTCTCTCTCTCTCTTAGTTCGGCTATTTTTGCTTTGTTTTTGGGTCTGATTGAGAAACCCAAATGGGCAAATACCTAGTTGATGATTGATTTTTGGGGAAATTTATTTTTAAACTTTTGATTGATTGTCCTGATTATTTACAAACTTGATGCGTCAGATACTGCAATTTGATGGCAAACACACATCAAAATGGAACTTCCATAATTAACAACTTTCATTCTGTCTCAATCAGAATCAAGTGGCAGTGACAATGTCAAACTTATAAGTCATAATGGGTGTTTTAGTTGAAAATGAAAGGAGAATGAAGGGATACATCTTCCTGTATAGAAATTCTGTACAGAATTTTTGTTTGTACACCATCATCCTAACATAAAAAAACTAATGCTGTCACAATTTTTACCTTGCCACTGCCTAACCCAGTTAATAGTTTCCCAAGAGTAGTGACTACAAAAATCATTAAAATATTTTTGCACAGCAGAGAGGCAGAATGCGGTCTTAGATAATAATCTCAATTTTGATTTCTACAACTTTGAATGGCATGATCACATTTGAGGGCTGGAGTGTTGGTTTATAGGCTTTGGGTCCTAAATACATGTTTTCCCCTGGTTTTTGATTCAGAACTTTATATCATTGATGCAGATACACAAAAAGCAATGGTGGGTAGAGGCTACTGTAGTCATTTGGACATAGCATATTCAACAATCATAGGAGCTGAAATTAAAGAATGATCATAGGATTGAAACTAATTTATATTTTAATATTATGCTATAGTGTTTTGTATATTTTAATTTCTCACTGTTAGATAACTTGAATGATCATAGGATTGAAACTAATTTACAAATATATAGTTGAAATTAAAGAATTAAAAAGCTTGAAGGTTCAATTTTCTTTAAAGATAACCTGTTTACTTTCTGAAATAGGCCTATATAAAGTAATGTGGTTAGGCATATAAATGTTGTATGGTTGAATTATGATGGGCATATAAATGTTCTGAAATAGGCCTATATAAAGTAATGTGGTTGGGCAAATCCAGCTCAGTTATTGATATTGAGTGAATAGATCTTCCATTTGTGTCTATGTGAATCCAATTTTAGTTGAATTGAACTTGTCAATATAAATTGTTGGATGTTTGTTCCTTATATGGGTATGAAATCCATGGTCTAATCATTTGGTGTAACTCAATTTCCTAGAATTTGTTATTTTTTCTTCTCTTGTTTTTTCCTTTTTTATGCAAAAATGTTGTTAGGGAATATCAATATGATTGTGTGTGTTCTAATTTATGTTTAGGATTTTTAAGCATTGATAATGTCGGAAGTTGGAGCAAACTCTTAAGCAAACTCCCAACTACCCGTTGATGGTTTACAACCATCAATATCGGTTGAGAGTGAGACCTCTCTACCATCACAGCCTCCCCTCCCCAATCAAAATGTGCTTGATGTAGGTGATTCTGATTCTAGTTTAGCTACTAGAAAAACCCCTAGTTTTGTGTGGCAACACTTTAAGAAAGAAAAAATTGATGGCGTGTGGAAAGCCATATGTAATTATTGTAAGAAGCATCTTGGGGGTAACCCGAAGCATGGAACTTCACATTTGCGTGATCACTATAGGAGTTGTTTTAAGAAAAGGGAGGGAATGGACATGAGACAAAGAGTTTTAACTAGCAACTTTAACAAGAAGAGTCCGAAAGCCTCTTATAGTTTTGATGAAGATATTGTTAGGAGAGAGCTTTCAAATGCCATAATCTTGCATGAATACCCTTTGTCCGTTGTGGATCATATTGGGTTCAAAAGATATTCTATGGCACTTTAACCATTGTTTAAAGTACCTTCTTGAAACACAATAAAAAGTGATATTTTGAAGATCTATGACAATGAGAAGGAATACAGAGCAATCAAAGTAAAGTGGCAATCACAACTGATATGTGGAATTCTAGTAATCAAAAGAAAGGGTTCATGGCGGTCACAGCACACTTTATTGATGATTCTTGGTCATTGCAAAGCTGTATTTTGAAGTATATTTTTGCATATAAATTAATTTATGCTTTATTACAGATTGTTGTTGCATCATATATTATATGCATATAAATTAATTTATGTTTTAATTTATGATTTGAGGTTCATTTATGTGCCATGTCCACACACAAAAGAAGTTCTTTGTGATACTTTGCTCAATTGTTTGATGGATTGGGATCTTGATAGAAAAGTGTCTGCCATCACTATTGATAATTGTTCCACCAATGATGCGATGATTAGCATTTTGTTGGATAAATTGGATAGTAGTTCTCTTCTTTTGGGTGAGACTTTGTTTCATATGCGTTGTTGCGCACATATTCTCAATTTGATTGTCAAAGATGGATTGGATGTGATAAGAGTAGGTGTAGAGAAAATTCGGGATAGTGTGGCTTGTTGGACAGCAACTCCTAAAAGAGTAGAAAAATTTGAAGAAACAGCTCGTTAAGTAAAAAATTTGAATACTAAAAATATGGGACTTGATTGTGCTACTAGGTGGAATTCAACATATTTGATGCTTCAAACTGTCTTGTTATATAAGGATGTATTTTACCATTTGAAATATAAAGAGACCCAATATACAACATTGCCAAGTGAGGAGGAGTGGGAGTTTGCTAGAGAAATTTGTGGGAGATTTAAAATATTTTATAGAGCAACTGAATTGTTTTCTGGAACTAAATATCCCACAGCTAATGTTGCTTTTCCAAATTTATGTGAGGTTAGGATAACTATCTCCCAATGGTTCTCTTGTTCAATTGAGGTTGTTAGATCAATGGCATCAAAAATGTTGGGAAAGTTTGACAAATATTGGGTTATTATACATTGTCTTATAGGGGTTGCTGTTGTACTTGACCCTAGGTACAAACTTAGTGTGTTGGAGTTTTATTTTGATAAACTTTATGGAGATACAGCTGAAGAGGAAATTGCGAAGATTCGCCAACTTTGTTATGATTTGTTGCAAGAGTATCAAAGAAAACTTAGTTTGGGAACTGATGCTAATGTTGAATCTTCTACAAGTTCAAATTTTGGGGATTCAGATGTGGTTTCAGATTATGATTTGTTTATTAGTAGAAAGCGAAGAAAAAAAGTCAACAATGTAACATCAGAGTTAGACCATTATTTAGAAGAGGATTTTGTGACAAGAACTCCCAATTTTGATGTGTTGACTTGGTGGAAATCAAATGCATCGAAGTATCCAACCTTACAGGCAGTAGCTAGGGATTTTTTAGCTATTCCGGTATCCACTATTGCTTCGGAGTCTACATTTAGCACTAGTGGTAGGTTGGTGAGCCCATATCGGAGTAGACTTCATCCAGATACTTTGGAAGCATTGATGTGTGCACAGAGTTGGTTGTGGGCTGTAGAGATGCAAGGTACTTAAATAAATCAATATGTAATTATTTTTAAAATAAATATATTTTCATTGGATAGTCTTAGTACTTAATTTTTTTTCTTATTTTTCAGGTAATTCAACATTGGAATCAGTTGGTTATGCTACTATATATGATGAGATGGATGTGAATCAAAGTTGATCTTTCTTTTGCATTTCTCTTGTTAGACGGCTCAAACTTTCATAGTAGGATCTTTTTACATGTTATACATTGTCTTTCAATAAATAGATGTGAATTAGAGTCAAACAACATTTTTTTCTTTGATCTTTATTATCCTTGTGTAGGTTTTGTTACTGGAGTGTTGCTGCTATTGAAATGCTGCTGCTGCTGGAGTGTTGCTGTTGTAAGAAACTTGTAAAGACTTAGAGTTGAAATGTCAAAGAATGCACTTTGTTGAATTGGGAGTTGAAATGCCAAAGAATGCATTGGGAGTGTTGTTGTTGTAAGCAACATTTTAATTTTTTTGTGTGTGCTACAGTTGGGATGAACATGGGTAGTTATGTATTAGTGTTAGTTGATAGAGATCAACAAACAATTCCTTATTTATGTCTTGATGCAATTTAATATGGGTCTTATAACACTTTTTTCAAACAGGTTCTTTCACATTTTATTTCTTCAAACAGGCTCTTATAACATTGTAAACAGGTTCTTATAACATGTAGGGAAGGGAGTGAGAGTGAGAGAGAGAGAGATGGTTGTAATTTTTTTTTAATCTTCCACGTTCTTCCACATTTTTTTTTTCAATTACTAAAACTTATTTGATTGTCTTAAAATTATATATTTGATTATTATAAACAAACTTTTCAATTAATTAATTAATATGTATTTGATTGTGTTGTTGAACCAAATAAAATAAAATAAAATAAGATTGAACATATATTTAACTTTTGTTGTGAATTTTAAAAATAAATAAATAAATAAATAAATAAATAAGTTGTTAACATTAAATATATTTAAAAAGAAAGAAAAAAGATTGAAGGTATATTTAGCTAAAACCTTACCTTAAAAAAAAAAAGTGGTTATTAACATTAAATATAAAAAATACAAATACAATAAAAATGAGGATTAAAGTGGGTTGGGTAAAATCTAAACCCATTAGAAAATGGGGAGGGTGGTAACTATGGGGAATGGGAAATGGGAAAAATTTAACAAGAAAAAGAAAAGTTGTTAACATTAAATAGATTAAAAAAGAAAGAAAAAAAATTGAAGGTATATTTAGCTTTTGTTGTGAACCTTAAAAAAAAAATGAATTTTAAAAATAAATAAATAAATAAATAAATAAATAAGTTGTTAACATTAAATAATTAAAAAAGAAAGAAAAAAAAATTGAAGGTATATTTAGCTAAAACCTTAAAAAAAATAAAAATAAATAAAAAGAAAAAGAAAAGTTGATTTCACATCAGGTCCTAAATCAAAATTCTCTAATTTTAAATATAAAAATAATGTGTCGTTCAAACTCAATTCTTATATAGGAAAATGAAGCCATCATTCAAGTCCCATGAGTCTTAATTCAGTGTACTTTTATTTTACTAAGCCAACGTGGCGTTATTTCTGATTGCATGAGATTTATGCCATTACAGAGTTTGAAAAAATCATATGAAAGCGAAACACTACAAGTTCAAACTTGAAAACCACATGAAAGTAAGAAATGACAGAGAAATGAACAAACAACAACTACTACTACTACATCAAACTTCCGTTCCTTCTATACATCCCATTAAACTAATACCACCTACTTACCATCTCTCTCCTTCAACATTTCAATGACTGCCATTAGTGCATTCTCAGAGCTCCCACTAACTTCAAAAGCTTCCCTAGCCTCTTTCCCAACTTTCTTAGCACTTTCCCTCAATTTCTCATCTCCCATCAACTCTCTCACTCTCTCCTCAATCTCTTCACCTTTCACCAACCTCTCCCCACCCCAACCCCAGTCCTTCACCCACATCCCCAACCCCGCCTTCTCTACCACTTCGGCATTCATCTTGTGGTCCCCGTGTTGCGGCCATGCCAAAATTGGTACCCCTTCCCTGGCTGCTTCCGTCACCGAGTCCCATTTGCATTGATTGACGAATCCTCCAATGGCATGGTGTGCCAGAATTGCCGCCTGGTTCACCCATCTTTTCATTACCACCCCCCTATTCTTGGTTTTTTCAAGGAAGGATTCACCTAGGAGTTCTTGGAGCTTCTTCTTTTCATCTTCGCCTGCTTCATTGGCTCCTAAGACCCATAGGAATGGGAATCCACTTCTCTCCAATCCTTTGCCTAGTTCTTTCATTTGATTCTCTGACAAGACCGTTCTGCTTCCAAAATTAACATACACAATTGACTTCGTAGTTTGGTCATCCAGCCACGGAAGACCATGCAATTTCTCAATCTTGGAAGGCTCGAGTGGACCAACTGGGTAAAGAGGTGGGAGATGGTTTAATGCTCTACCATCCAAGAGGGCGGATATTGTTTCTGGTTCGAACCCATTAAATGAGTTCAATAAGACACCATCAACTTTTGGTAGAGATTGAGCATTCGGTATTAAGTAGTCAGAAAGCAAATGATTCGATGGCGAATCATCGAGCCACGAGGGTGGAACGATTGATTTTGGAAGCGAGGCTAAACCCGGGATGTAAATTTCTCCAAAATCAACCTTAAATTTAGCAAGAGTATCGGACAACAATGTAGGAAGGTAGGCTACGGTGGAATAACACCGAGCAGAGGTAGTAGAGACAATATAGTTGGGAATGCCAAGATCATAAGTGATTTGAGCAAGGCTAGCTGCTACAACAAAATCAGAAAAGATGGCCGAGATTGGTTGAGGTAAAGAAGATAGGAGAGGAGGTAGGAGGTGAACAGAGCGATTGATTGCTCGGAATTGGGTAATGAAAGCATCATCACTGGGGGAATTGGAGCTGTTATCTTGAAGAATCTTGAGCTCGAGGCTTGTGATGTTTGGATGGCTAGAAAAGAAGCTAGAAAATTGAGCAGACTCTTCAGCGCAAACGGTTGGTTTTGTGCTGATGACTGTGACAACACAGTTGCGCGAAGCTAGCATCACTGCGAGGCGGAGAAAGGGTGTTAAATGGCCCATGCCGGGGCTTGGGAAGAACACGACACGAGGGGGTTCTGCTCCAGTGCTGGTGAGGTTCAACATGGTTTGTCTGAGTATGCTTTGTGCAAAACTGATCAGGAATTCACAGTTAATCAGTCATGAAGGCATGTTTTCAAACTTTTAAATCTTGGCAATTTCAATCATTTCTTGTTTGCTAGTTTGTTGGTTTATTAAAGGAATCTAATTTGGAAATTTAAAATAAAACAAACAATTTTAGATTTGATTGAGCAGCCCCCATGAAAGATCTTGTCCCTGCAAATAATGCAATTTTATAGTAGAATCATTCTCATGTCTATTTCCAACTAACAATTTATATAATCTCAATGTCATTGTTATGATGGTTTTCCAATTCTTTCTCTCCCTTTCTATCATTATAATTATCATTATGCATGCTTCATTAATTTTAATATCATATAGTTTGCTTGTTTGTTGTTATTTTTAATTGCATAGATCAGCAAGAATTGATTGGCCATACTCTACAAGAAAGATACCAAATTGAATCATTTGAAAGCCACCCAAACTGATAATTAAAAATCACATCGAAACATGGATTTAAAGAGGCTGCCATGATGAAAAATAAGAAATAAAAACAAAGCATACATTTGTTTCCCACTCTTTATGTTTTTCACATTCCCCATGATCTCTCTTTCCTTCTCTTCCCCTAGAAATTTTTACTAAAAATTTTACCCATAAACATCAATATAATATTCAAATTTATTATGCGTGCAAACCCCACAATACACAAAATAGATCTCAACCAATGAGTTTCTTGACAAATTTTCTTGGCAAGTAGTGTTTTCCATTTTTCATCTACATCGAGCAGAGGTTGTGGAGATGATGCAACTTGGAATACCAAGGGATTGGAGCGACTATTGCAACAACAAAATCAGAAAATATGGCAGAGAACGGCTGAGGTAATGAACTCAAAAGAGGAGGAAGAAGGTAAACAAAGGGCAAGATCACCACTGTAAGTATCAAAGGTAAGGATTTGAAAATTCGGGGTGTTGGACATTAGGGTTGGTGGAAAAGAAATTGGCGAAATTGAAGATGTAGATGGATTGATACCACGTTGTCATCACGGATACGCCATCAACTCCAGTCCTACAAAAAATACAAACGTCCCTCCTGTTTTAAATTCTAGAAAACTTTTTAAGGCTTCAATGTCTTCCAAACCTGATTAAATAAAATTAATGTAAAAACAATTTGAACTGGAGTACAGCACTTACAATCCACTTTTTACAGGGGAATTTCAGTGACAAAATACTAACCCTGAATTTCTTTTTGCTCATTGTGTTTTCACTTTTTCTCCCCTGATCAAAAATTATAAATTAAAAAAAGAAAAAGAAAATAGAAGTAAGATATCTTAATTTGCGCATTTACAAAATAGGAATTTAACCACCATTTTTTAAAAATAAACTAAATTCATGGCAACATATGTGGTTTGCATTGCAGCCTTGGCTCAGGACTTAAGTGTGCCTCTTTAATTCTTGTGACCTAATGAACTCATCAATTTTCGCCTTCAGCTCAGTGTCGGGAATCAGCATATCTGAAGTTAGATGAGAACGATTGAAAGGGTCCGTCTGCAATTCATACAAAATAATTATAAGCATCTACAATATCTATATATAAAAATGTGTATGTAAAAAATAAGGCTATGAGGTACCGTGTCGCTAAGAAGATGTCTCTGAATAACAGGCCGATCGACTGTGATTCTAGAAGATGGTAAAATCACTGGATCCTTCATTAAAGTGTACTGCTCATCAAGAAAAGTAATCAGCATGTGGCGGTTTTCTTAAACTAAGAACAACATGGCATGACAAATAAATGAATTACAAAAACTTTAATTCCAAATCATCATGCTCAAACATTAGTATGTATGGTTGGCTTTTAATATCAAACTATATTTTATTTTATAACCCAAAAACACTGAAGACAAAACTTACTTGAATTGGGTCAAGGAACTCATCAGGTATCTCTCCAAGAGTGGCTTCAGTGTCCATGGCCTCAGAAGCTGCAACTTTGGCTTTTGCACCTAGCTCAACAAATTCCTGCACAATTCTTCCATCTTCATGAATTCTCCAGAGGACATCTGCTGCAGCACTAAACAACTGGGAGATTCAAACCATTAGATCACACTTGACCAATTATACTCCTTTAGGAGAGAACAAGAACCCTCCAATTTTTTCAAAATATCAACATAGAGAAGTAGTAAAAATAATCATCTGCAACTTTAGTTACCTGATCATTGTATGATCGACCATCCCTGGTGATGGCAGCCGGAAAAATATTCTCTTTATCACCCCTTGCCAGATGAACATAAATGTTGGCAATCTTCAAATCAAAGCATTTAAGTCAATATTGTTTCTTTTTATCCAAACTGTACTTGCATAACATGCGTAACAAGTTTTTGAGCAAACAAGCAAAACAGATTTTTTTACTGTAAAAACATGCTATATACCCAGGGACAATACAGGTAGAGGTGTGGAGTATCATGTTCAACACAAATGCTCCTAGAATCAGGAATCCCCAATCCGTTGAAGTTTGTTAGAAGCTCTGTTCAGTCCTGGTTTACCAAACAAACAAAGGTTGTATGGCCAACTAAGGTTGAACATTTGCTCTGTTGCATTTACATATATCCGAACAAATCAAGTATGTATTTTTTGGGCCTAGTTGACCTAACAAAACTTGAACCTAAGAAAAAGGTATCACCAATTATGTAGAAAAATATGCACGTTGTCATTTAGAGTCCTCATTCCTCAAATTTTCATTTAGAATCCTCATTACTCAAATAAATGTAAATGAAACAACAATAACTATTTATATGAGATTGGTATGACTTTTGAATGATAATGAGAATGGGAGAGAGTTGGGAAAAGAGATAGCTTATGATAATTGGTGTATGTTGGGTGAGTGGGGAAAAAATTTGGTTTTTTATTTAAGGGGTGCAGAATTGTAATAAAAATTCATTAATTAGGGGTGTAGAAAGAAAAAATGGGGTGTATTTAGAAGCACCATCTATTTAAGTGTTTCTTAATCTAAGTTATTCCCCGAATAAAAAACATACTGTTCACATACAAAATTGAGATTTCTTTTTAATGCCAACCTGCTTAAGCAACTGCTTTGGATGGAACTCATACTTGTCAGGATCCTTTAAATAAAGAGATTTCCTTTGGGGCCCCACAAGTTGCAACAAAAAGTAATTAAGCATGCTGGCTACTCTCTCAACCTGAAAGAAGAAACACCCAACTTTGGTTTGAAACCAATATAACAGAGTAAAATTCATTGAGATCTGACTGAACAATTTCAGCAAGATAATGTCATGAATACAGAGGAGAAAACACATTACCATCTCTGGCAGTAGGAAGGGAGCTGTAATCTGCTCAGAAGTAAATGATAGCATGCTCACATCTTCATTTGCCAACTTCATATCAATGCGAATGATCTAAATGCACCAAAGAAATTTAAATATTACTAGGGGTTAAAGGGGCAAACAACTACAGCAACCCAAAAAAAAAAAAGGAAAAAAGAAAATGACATTTTCTTGGGAGTGGAACAATCGGGTCCTCTCCTGCCTCTCTTGGGCTGGTCTTCGCTCCCATTCCGCGGTGTTAGACATCTCAGCTTCCAGCTCTTTGAGTTCAAGAATTTTGTTAAGACTTTCATCAAGAAGAAAAATGCTATCATTGATCAGGAAGTTTAAGAAGTTCAAATACACGCCCTTCTCTTCTTCCTTGGCAATCTGGAACAGCATACAAATGGAAGGTGTAAAAGTTTTGTTCACCTAAATTCACAGGGCTTGCAAAAAGAAATTGTACACATTACAGTTCATGAATATGACTCTACCTGTCTCCATGCATTGCGGTGACTAGGAACCTGCCATAGGTATTCGAGAAGTTCTGCAATATTATGGCGGATGTTGAACTTGTCATAGAACTGCACAAGGACGCAGAACAAAAAAGCCAATCAAAAAGCAGAGACTATAAGGTGGTGTTTGGAAGAATTTTGGAATTATGATTTGAGAATAGAGTTCTATTTTGAGTTTGTGAGTTTTGGAATTATGATTTGAGTGTGAAAAATTTGTTTGGTTAGGAATTTTGAAAAGAGTTTTAAAAGAATTTTAAATTGAGTTTGGAATTTTTGATGTGACATATGATATTTGATACAAAAACTTATAACTCATAACCAAACACACAACTCAAAATTCTATTCAAAGCTCATAAAAAAATTTAAAAAATTCCGAATTTTTTTTATTTAAAATATAAAAAATAACAAGTGCCAATTGTAAAAAAAAATTAAAAAATAGCACTGTTCTGGTCAACCTGCCAGACGTCTGGGAGGATGACCGGTTAACCCAAATATTCCCACCTTGGAAAGAGTTTTCAAAAGTGGATGTGGAATTAATTTTTAAAAACTCTAAACAAGCAAGACACTTAAAACAAGAGGTGAAAATATGTTTGGAGAAGCTAACCAAACACAGCCTAAAGCTTTCCATACTTGAAAGTTGAAAGTCAAATGTTGGAAATTTCAATGGACTTGATCATATGAAGCAAATTTAGAACATGAGAATATCCTCGAGAAAGGGACTAGAATTGAGTGTGAAAGAAAATTGAATAATTTGACTCATTCCAGCAACATAATTAAATAAATAAATAAAACAGCCAGCGTGATAAACGTCTAGCGGTATCACCACCATTGCCTGAAACCCAACCCAAAACAACAAAAGATAATTAAACCTAGTAATTGGGAATTTTTGGACTGATTAGCACTTCATGCCTTAGTCCAGATCACACCAGGTAATGCTGTTCTGGAAGCCAAAAAGACAATAGATTAATCTTGCTCCATCCATGTGGAAGTCCAAACCGATGAACCGATGTTCATCTTGTCTTACTAAACAATCCAGAGACAATGCTAGACGCTTTCGATGCTTATTGAATTAAAGAAAATCCTGTGAATTTGATCTAAACATAAAGCTTCAGAATGAAAATATGAAAATACCAATGTTTTTGGCACCTAATAGGAAAGAACTATGATGTCAAGGAATCTCAAACATTTAAAATCAACATTTATTAAAAGAGGACTCAGAGCATCTAAGAAGGGGAAGAAGAATATGTCAGCAAAGAAGAAGAACCACGCAGAAGCATAAGATTAGGTCTGTACCAAAACGGAACAATAAGAATTTAATAAAAATAAAATAAGAAAAGGGTAAAACTTGAGGTCTCAAGAATGAGTCAATGATAATATCTGCGTGGCAAATCACCTGTGTGTGTGAACCTGTGAACTCGATGTCGACATAAAGCTTTAGAAGATTCCTTACGAGATACTCTAGAGACAGTTGGTGTCCTTCAAATAGAGTAGCTGTGACGGATGAGCTGCTGCGTGCAAAAGTTTAAGGCAGTAAATACCTAAAATATTCAGAAGAACCAACAAAAAAAGAATGTTTTTTTCCCGTTTATGTGGAAAAATAAATAAAGACAGGAATCAGTGAGCCTTCTATTTCTGTAAATTGGGAAATATGAAAATACCTTCTACGGGGCATCCAACAATTAAGCACTTCAACCATTTTTGCTCTTAGATACGGATTTCTGATGAAATCTGGACTTGCCATGAACATGATAATAAAGTTCATAAAATCATCCTGTCAAGCAAGAATGAACCAAAATATACTAAAGATGTCAAAGACCTATGGAGAATAAGCACGCCATACATTCATGATAATTTTTGGTATGTAAGGTACCAGTGAGACACCGTCTAAAGCTTTAGGAATCCGAGAAGCAAAAATAAGCAATTCCATGGCATCTTCCACAAAGTGTTCTGGCATGCATGCAAATTCCATTGGGCATGTAGAAGGCAGAGGCATTTTAAAACCACCAACCAGATCGACCAACCAAACCACCATTAACCGGTAAAAAGACAGCGCACGGTGAAGAATTTCCCCATCCTAAGAATAAAGCAGTGGACCCATCATGTCAGTAACCAACATGAGAACAGATTATTTAATTTTATAAATCAGCAAGCAGTTTCCATTGACCAACAAGCTTTGGCTTAGTTGGTAGATGATGGGGCAAACCTGCAGTGTAGATCTAAGTTTCAATCCTTATGGGAAGTCATAACAAATTAAAATACTCTGATTTCCTGGCAATATTTAAATCATTGCATAATGGTACACACATATTATAATACATGAAGAAGCTAACTTCTTAAATTACTAGAATGCTACAGTGAGTAGAACTATATGCAAAGGGCATGTGCATCAACACAAAATATTCTTCTTTTTTCATAAGCAACACAAAAAATACTCTGATACGCTGTTTAAAACCCATATTCCAAGATAAATACAAATGTTCTCAAACAACTTCTATCTGTATAAAAACTACATATGACGAACTGAAAAAAATTAAATTAAATTAAATTAAATTAAAAATGGCAACCTTATGATTAATAAAGAGATATTCTAACCCAACTGAACATGGCCTAACCGTAATTGCTTGGATAAGCAATTAACAACGGAAAAATATTCAGCCACAAGGCCATTATCTTCTTTTGAATGATACAGAATCCCACTTTGTTTCCTCTAGCCATGAACCAATATCCTAGCGAAGAAGAGAAGCTTTTAAGATTCAAAACATTTCTTATGATCCCAATAAACTGGTTATTTGGGGGGGGTCCAACAAGGGTTTTTTAAATATAACAGTACACAACCAAAAAAATCATGTACAATCAATTCATTGTTCTTCCCCAAGACAAAAACCAGGTTTCTAAATTTTATTTTTTTCAAAATAAAGAAGCTTGTATTTTGGAGAAAAAAAAACTAGAGAAGCATTCATCCACCCCCAAAAAATCAAATTTTAGCTTCCATCCCTGACCAATGAAAATTATCAGATATTTTGTTGCTGCAAAAAATATCTAAGCCCTACACAAGCTCCCCCAAAAGGAAGATAGTGAACAATCACTCTCCATGATAACAGCAGAACAATAGTTGCCAACCAAGACCTCCACCAGAAACCAGACTTAATGAAGTAGTTTGGCAACAAAAGAGAGACATGTGCGCCATCCCCTAGCAATTTTCTTGGTAAATCGTCAAGATTCCTGCTAGTTTTTAAATTCTTAGTTTCTCCCTGATTTACCCAAGCCATATGGCAACAGATCTGCAACCAACCAGTTGTCTACTCTGAACCTTGTCTTAAATTGAACGTAGTGCATTGGATGAGAAGAGAGGCCATGAAATTTGACAAATAATGACAAATCAGCGGGTGAACATCGAACATAATTAATTGAATAAGCATAATTGTTTGAGTTAAAAAAAATGATGTCAACTATGGAAACTACTGTCACTAGCACAGTATGTAAAACCAACATAAAGTCTAAAAGATATTATCAACAAAGTTAAACAAAAGAAAGCCATCAAATCTTAAACATGGACAATATATACACACACACACAAACACATGCACACCCACCCACCCACCCACACACGCACGCAAAGATGATATACCCTAAGTATCTGAGCTTCATAACATAGCTTTTCCTCCGAATATAACTCAATTTCTTTCTCTAGGCGATCTATATCCAGATCCAGCTGCGCTGACGGTGCTTGCCCCTGCATGGCTTTGAAAGTGGAGAGAGTATCTTCGCATCTTGAGATATCCTGAATTCCATTCAAACAACAGACATCAAGAATTAATGAAAGAAACAATATGAACAAATTAAAAGAAATGCAGTTCCTGGAAGAAAGGGAAAAAAAATTGAAAATAAAAAATAAAACTTTTAAAATTACTAAAACAACAGACAGGCCATTACAAAAGACTAATTTGGTCTTTCTATCTGCACAGAGAAAGCATTTCATTACCTGAACAAGATGCTTAAAGTCAGAAAATGCTTTCAAGAGGCCCAAGTTTAGCACCCTTGCAGTCATAAAGAAACATTCACAAATAAATGTGTATTTAGCTTTTCCAACACAACTGGACATTGGCTTATTGTGGAGAAGTGAAGGTACGCCGACATTAGTACCAGAACTGGTAGCTTCTTGAGACTGTAGCAACCGATTTTCTCCATCATTTTGTTGTTTAGAGACAACAGTTTTCTGAGGATTTTCTTTATCTAACCATTCAGTTACTTCTTCCGATGACGCATGTAGAGCAGTCAATCCTCTAATATAGGTTTATGAGCAATATTCAAGAACAAAGGGAAGAGATCAGAGAGGAGGGGAAAAAATAGAAAGGAAAAAACCTAATAGATAGGGAACAGAAGACTCTCACCTTAAATCCAACCGAGTACTGTAAAATACATATTTCGGATCAATTTTGTCCCTCTTTGTTAAATTTGCATCTAGAAATGGCTCACATAGATGAAGCATAACAACACTGAGATTGACAAACATTCCTGAACTTGCACAAGTCATTGGGTCAACCTGAGACCAATACATTAAGAGGCAAGGTCAAAATTAAAGAAGAGGGGGCAAGTTTCTCAAAATCTGTACTTCATCAGAGCAAAACAGAGAACAGGAACCGGTAAAACCGTGGCGTCTCCTTTCACTAGAGACATTTTTAGGAAGCAACAACATTGGGTAACTAGTTCTAGCATGTTATTTGGTATGTGAGATTATTAATATTTAACAATACTATGTCTTCATAATATTTGGACATCGCAACTGTATCTTGAATGATGCTATAATCAGAAATCATACCTGTATATGGGCCCTTGATGAGTTTTGATTTATCACCTCTCCAAGATACTCAAGGACATTTTCACGAGTTTCAGCATTTTTGAGGAGACATCGAAGAACTTCTACCAGACCATTATACAGATTATTCATGACAGTTTTAATTGTTGTGAATGAAGAAGATAAATCTGCCGGACGACGTGTTGATGCTTCTGAGAAGCACTGCTGTCTGGTGTTTACAAGAGACAAACACTCTGAAGTAAGAAAGCTTTCTTAAGCAGTGTATCACATCCAAAATCATCACAAAACTACAGATTCATTTTGAAGAAACAAATACATAGGACTCTTAGGCAAAGACTTCAATAAGAAAATCCAACAAAAAAGTCAACACCTAAATATTTATATAGTTTTTTCTACTTCATGAAGGCTATACAAATTGACCTTAAGAAAAACAAGGGAAGGAAAAAAGTATGCATCCAAAGAAAAAATTCATCCAGAATCATCCTCTATATAGGAAAACTCCTTTGACTAAGGAAGTATACAACTATGTGACCCCCAAAATCTAGCAAAATAAAAGGCCTGATTGAATGCACAAATGTATTATTAGGTGATCCAACTCCTGAAAATCAGATTTGCATATAACTTACCAAAATAAGTAGAGCCATTTAATAAGTCAAAAGGGCTAGTTAATATCCTCGCCACAAGAAATCAGTAGTCAAAATGTTATCACAAACTGCCTTCCACACGAGACAATTTTCCCAAATAAGCTTCTTCCACCAAAATTTTATTCAGCCCATCTCCATAAAACAGTTTTAAAAAGAACTTCTCAACAACAAAGTGCTTAAATTACAGGTATCTCAAACTTGTTCAATCCATCACAACAAATATAAAACCAACAAAAGCAGATCCATATAAAACAAATCAGAATCATGCAGTCACCCAAGAAATCATGCAATCAAATAACTACACGAAGTCACTTGCATACAGAACTATCAGTAGTTGAATAACAAAGATCAGGAAAAAAACATGTTTAATGTGTAACTTCAGTCTCGACAATTGACACCAATAATCAAACCAAATTCTCACATAGTCACACTTCATTAGATATACACCAATCTTTTCTTATGCTCATCTCACTTTCCATAAATTTAGTTTGAGTGAAAACTCAATTTTCCTTCTTTTTTGATCCAGTCATTTTAATGTAAGATGAAGTTTTTGTTCTCTCAAATTGCACCTTTGGTTATTGGATGTCTATTTTCTACTCTTATTTATTTATTTCTCTAGTCTTATACTATGTCCTATTTATATTGCAATTTTCTTGCACATTCACTTAATATAACCAAAAAACTACAAAATAAGGCATCCACTACCCAAGAGTTATGCCATATATATTATACAGATTCTTATAACATACAAAAACAAAAAAGAAAAAGAAACATGAGATAAACAAAATTGCAATTATAAGCAAAATACAACAAACCAGGAAAAAAGAAAATGGAACTCACCCAACATCAGGCTGGCTTTTGAACATGCTATGATCTGGAAGAGCACTAACACGGAAAAAAGGGCCCAAAATGCTTGTCATCTCGATTGCACGACCATTCATATACGAACTCTTGGGAATCCACCAAAGGTGGTTCACCAGAGACTTTGCAGCAATTGGAAAACTAATCAAAAACAACAAAGCCCTCAAAGGCTGCTGAAAATTTCCTAGAGCAGTCACTGGAAGTACACTTCCCCGCAAGTCTTCATATAATTGCTTAAAAATAGGGTCCAAACTATCGAAATCCGAATCCCTAAAAAACTCTTGCAGAAACCCAGGAGGACAAGCAACAGCACTGCTACTGCTACTACCTCCAAACCCATCAACTGAGCTCGGAACTTCCGAGAAAATCAACGGCAACAACGGGGACACATTCGACTTACTCGTTTCCCAATTCGGAAACATATCAGGAATAGCCAAATGAATCCTGCAATACGAGACCGACAATTTCTTAGCTTGTTTAACAACCGATTCCATCTCAGACCTCACAACCTTATCTTTCATATTAGCAATCTTCTTCCCCTCATCATACGCTCGACGGTAACACCCAATAAGATACCGAAACGGAGGTTCGGCCGATGAAAAATTCCCCGAAAGCCGATCGATCAAAACCCTCTCCATCAAATCCCTAGACAGTCTCAATTCTTTCCCCTCACTGAGAATTTCAGCCGCAGTCATCTCCAAATAGACTATCCTAGCATCGTTCTCCATCGAATCAATTAGGGTTACAAGAAAGATCTTCCTGAGAATAATATCCTCGATTTCCGCAGGAGACCTTTGGGGTTTTTGACTCGCCATAACGCCCAATCTATAAAACCCTTTGCGTGTGTGTGTGTGTGTGTGTGTATAATGAAATTGAAAATCGAATTCAAGCTTCGAATGAGTCGAGTGGTAGCATTTACAAACACAAAGAGATGGGTATGGTGTTCATGATTCAGGGTTTGTGTTTTAGAGGATCAAGAACACAGGTCAGAGTAACATGGTTTGGCAATGATATAGTTCGATGAAAGAGCAGAGTGATGAACTCATACTTACAAGGAGAGATAGAGAGAGAGAGTAGAGCACACAGACATTGTTGGGTCTCTCGAGGGTTTCAAGTATCATCTCTTTTGACGACTTCGAGGAAATCCTAGTCTATATATTGAACAAATTGATGATAATTATATCGACAATGCTACCGACTCCAAAAAAAACAAAAAACAAAAAACAAAAAACAAAAAACGAAAAAACTAGATTTGGGTTGGCTATTGGACTAATTACTGTTATATAGTTAAATGGTTCATTTTGAGAGTCAATTTAATAATTTGAACTACTTATATTTTAAAATTCATTAAGTAAAATATACTTATAAAAAATCAAGTTAATTGGATATCCTTTATCTATTCATCCACTCATATTTATATCTACAAAAATAAATAAGAATTGTGATTTAAAGTATTAAAATGAATATAAATGTGAGTGGATGAAAGGATAAACCATATCTGTTTAACTTGATTGTTTGCAAGTATGTTCTACTTAATTATTCTAAATTGTGAATAGTTCCGATTACAAAATGGGCCCATTTGGCTGCACAAGTGTGGCTGCTGTGCAACCCGTACAGTAGCCACCCCAAATCCCCATGACCCCAAAATGATGTGGACCAATCATGTATTTTTGTTTTTTTGTTTTTTTGTTTTTGTTGTGGAGTTGTGTTTTTTGAAGTCTGTAGCATTGTTGTTATATACAAATAAAATTTGGATAAATTAGAAGATTTGTTGAAAATATAAATTATTTCAAATTTATAATATTTTATTTTATAGTATTGAAATGGGGATTAAGATATTAGAGTTACTGATTGTGACGATGAATCGATCGTGAATGTAATTATTAATGATTGTTGGGTGTTTGATGGTTATTATTTTGTTTTGTTATTTTATTTTGTTTTATTTATTTATTCTTTTGTGTTGTAATAATGCCACTATGTATAAAGGTTTTCCTCTTATTTTTTGTGCTAAATGATTTAATACTGAATATGTAATGTATTAAGTCTCATATTGTCATAATTCAAACCCGTCTTTATAGGTTTAGTGTCGTAATTGGCTAATAATTCTAAGATAACCAAAGGCCTCTGAACAAATTAAATAAAATATAGGAGCTAGCGGAAGAAAATACAAACATACAATATCCATAGAGCTGTGTAGACATACATGGGACAAAAAAATTTAAAACTTGATATACATATCAGTGACGTCATATTTACATTAGTCTTACGTCACCAAAACCCACATAAATACATCTTATAAAAACTTGTTCAGTAAAACAAAAGAAAACAAAAAGAACTCAAAACTTGACAACAGAACACGATCACATCAAAACAAGAACCTCCCCGGGAGGCATAGTGGCTGGCCGACACAAAAGAATCCAAGCAGCAACTTAGGCCTAATCACCTACATACATAAAACAATACGGTGAGCTAGACCCTAGTGAATAATAACAGAGTAAAGATTTAATGAATGATATCCATAACAAATTCAAAAATCAGAATTCAAATCAGAAACAAATTCATATTCGTATTTAGAGTTCACATATTCCACATGATCATACGTGGTACGTCCATAAGCGCTAACAAATCCGATGACCCATAAAGAGATGACCATAAAGGCATTCTGATGACTCATGTGTACAAAGACATTTCTGATGACCCATAAAGGGATGGCCATGAAGGTATTCCGATAACCCATAAAGAGACGCATATCATATGATGCTAAGGATGCCACAAATTCATTTCAGAAACTTAAACAATCATTCATTCATACAAAACATAGCATTTCAGAAAACTGATCATTTCATATCATCAGAAAAATAATTAAAGTTAAACATAATTTTACAGAGTTATTACTCATAGATGACTCTGATAGTGGATCAGACGAATCAAACAACCAAACAGCTAAGGCGTATGACCTACACAAACATATAGCGAATACAGATTAAAACGCACATTTTGAAAACACTTAACTTGTTTCTTTTCTATCTCGGTGTGTTTCCGCTCCTTATCCTCATTATTATGTTTTAATTAAGGCTTATAAATGCCTAAGATGCAATAAGGATGCCAAAATATGTGTAATAACACTTAGGCAAATTTCTAAAAACAGGGTCTTCGTTTGAGCGCAACTTTAGTCGCTCAAGCAGACTGCAAAATTTTGTAAAATTTCTGGGAACCCTCATTTTACGTTCGAGCGCAACTTCTGGTTGCTCAAACCAAGGTTCAAAAATAGGCGCGATCACTCAAGCGCAAGTTCCCTCGCTCAAGCGGAGGCTCATGTCTATAAAAGTATTAGGAGCATGATTTTTATGCTCAAGCCAACTTTTGGTTACTCGAGCAGAAGTGCAAAACAAAGAGTGGTTACTCAAGCGCAGGTTCTATCACTCGAGCGATGATGCAGAATTCTAAAATTTCCAGATTGATATTCAAGATTTCAAAGCTTTAAAACGCATCCTTTGGGCTCAAAACTTGAGAAAATATGTCTAAACTTGTAAAACATCAAGAATTAAGGATCATTTCGCAAAATCAAGGCCCAAAAGTAAGTCAATTGTCCAAAATTCAACTTGAAACTTAAAGAACATGACTTGCATGTGATGATATGAGCTTCAACTTTTCAAAACATTATCAATTGAGATGTTTGGTACAAAAACATGTTGAATTCTCAAAACATAGCCAAGGTAAGGTCATGCATGTGAAATTTTTGGGTAAACAACTTCAAAATACCATGATATGTACGCGCATGCTAGACATAGTCTCAATTCTACTTCTTTAACTTATTTCTTGCATCTCTTACCTCAATTATCTTAAATTCATGTAACACCAACTCAAGTACAAACCTAAAGGTGTGGATTTTTACCTTAAGTGTTCAATTGGGCTATAAATGACCAATTCTCAAAGTCTCCAAACTAGTTCATCTAAAATTTCTAGCTAATCTCCCTTCTCTAGCTTTGATGTCAATTTCTTCCTTCTCTAGCTTTGATGTCAATTTCTTCCTTCTCTCTCTCTCTCTCTCTCTCTCTCTCTCTCTTTCTCCCACGTTTTTCTCCTCGAAAGATGATGAACTTTCTCCCACGTTTTTCTCCTCGAAAGATGATGAACCAAGAGAGTCTAATGTGTGCATAAGCCTTATATAGGCTTGGTTAGTGGGCTTAATTAAACTAGGCTTACTACCAATTCAATGGGCATTATTTTATTCTAATTATTTGATTCCGAATTGAATTCTAAATAAATTTACCATAAAATTCTAAAAATTCTAAACAACACATGTACCGAGTCGATTTTGTAATCGAATGCTGATAAGGTCTTCAATTCGCATAATGAAACAGAAACACAAACAAATATTTCTACGACAAACAGATATAAACACATATAACACCATGCACATGCAATTAATGTAGAATTTTCTCTTAATTATTTATTAAGTATTCTTAATCATGGTTTAACAATTAATCACTGGTCGGGATTGTTACACATATTTTCGCATATAAAAAACAATTTTTAAGTTAATTAATAGTTTTAGTAATTTCATTATTGTATAAGAAGATAATTATAAATTTTATTTTCTCTATCAATTCTATTAAATGACAAATTCTAATAAAGAAGTAATTGTAATTTATAAAACTATAGAGAGTAATATATATTTTAAGCAAACCTTATATAATGCATTTATAATTTACTCTAATTTTTTTGTATAAAATCTTATTTTTCTTAAAAAAATTAAATAAAAATATTTATTATTGTAGATTATGATATTAAAATTTTCATCATCACATTATTTTGGTTAATTTTTTTTTTATACGAATTTGATTTATAAATTATTTTTTATAATTTATGGGGACATGTCATTATAATTTCACTAGGAATGTGCAACCATGCCATGAGCTTGAGGTTAATTAATGAATAACTAACACTTAACCCGGGGAGAAATTACTCAGTGCTCTAAGAGCAAATGCTAATGGGGCTTCACAAAAATAGTTACGAACTATTTTTGTGTTAAAGTTTTAGGAAATAACCGATTAGGTGTTAATCTGTAAATAAAATAGAACAGTGTTTCAGGAGTATTGAATACAGGTTAATTTATTTTTTAAAAATAATATTTTTATGTTACAATATATGTGCAATAAAAGAATAATATTAATTTAATTTGTGTAATTCCAATTATTTATTTTGATAATCTTAACATTATCATTCTATAAAAGTGTTACTTGACTACTTATATATAATAAGGGTTAATTACCAACAAAAAAAACCTAGAGTTTCCCGTGTTTTTCAATTTCGACAAATTAAACTCTGGAGTTTCATCCGCGTTTCATGTGAACCCTACGTCCATCTCCATCTTCTTTCTTCTTTCAAATTTAAACCTATCTGTTCAAACTGTTATATCTTCATCGTCGTTAGGGGTGTAAAAATGGTTCGTGGCCCGTGGGCGGCCCGAAGCCTGCCCGTGGCCCGAGATGGGCCAGGCCCGCTTGGGCCCAGCCCGAGCCCCTGGACTAGGGCTTGGGCCATTGTTTTGAAGCCCAGCCTGGCCGTTTGGCCCAACTCAGTGGCCCGCTTAAGGCCCACCTAGGGCCCGTCCCGAAGCCCAGCCTGTTTGGCCCGCCCAAGGTCCTGTGTATTTTTTAATGGAAAATAATAAAATTTTGATAGAAAAAAATTTTAAAAACAAAAAAAAATGGTTAGGCCTGCCTAAGCCCGAGGCCAGGCCCAAACCTATTAGGCTAACCCAAGGCCCGAATACCCTTAGGCTTGGGCCTGGGCTTAATTTTTTGGCCCGTGGACCGGCTCGGCTCGGCCCGGTGAGCATAGGCCTAATTTTCACCTTATGGCCTAATTTTCATTCCACCTCTCATACACCTTGTTCCACATCTTTTTACATGCAGTCGAAGCTTCGAAAGTTGGTCAAAAATAAAATTTTTCTCTCTTTGGGCAAAATTTTCAGATTCAAATTCATATGTTCAAGCCTTTGTATCTCCTTTATCGTAACTCTATTTCACCTCATTTTCGCATCGTTAGATTTAACTCGTGGCCTAATTTTTATTTCACCATTCGTATGCCTTATTCTACCTTTTTTTGGCATGCCGTCAAAGCTTCAAAAATTGGCTAAAAATAAGTTTTTTTCTTTTTCTTTTTTT